TCCAAGATCAGGAATCAGTCCGTGACTTCAGGTTTAATCCAGGATCAGGGATCAGCCTGACTTCAGGTTTAATCCAAGATCAGGAATCAGTCCGTGACTTCAGGTTTAATCCAGGATCACGAATCAGCCTGACTTCGGGTTTAATCCAAGATCAGGAATCAGTCTGTGACTTCAGGTTTAATCCAGGATCACGAATCAGCCTGACTTCAGGTTTAATCCAGGATCAGGGATCAGCCTGACTTCGGGTTTAATCCAAGATCAGGAATCAGCCTGACTTCGGGTTTAATCCAGGATCAGGTATCAGTCCGTGACTTCAGGATCAGGAATCAGTCCGTGACTCCAGGATCAGGAATCAGTCCGTGACTTCAGGTTTAATCCAGGATCAGGAATCAGTCTGTGACTTCGGGTTTAATCCAGGATCAGGAATCAGTCTGTGACTTCAGGTTTAATCCAAGATCAGGAATCAGTCCGTGACCTCCGGAGTTTCTCTAAGATCCAACAACTTTAAAGTTTCCCTAAATACTGATATTTCTGACTTTTTTGAGGAAGCCTGAATGCATCAGGCTGAGCTGTGCAGTTTAAAGGAGTGATGAGAGAAAATGTGAGATGTTGGACGTTTCGGAGGACAAGACTTCTAAGCATCGCAGCTTCTGTAGCTGTGTCTAACCTTTAACCCTGTCCACTGCGTCTTCGTACCGCGGCTGAGGATCAACCAGCTCCATCAGGCCGGAACCGATTATAAATCTAGATGACAGAGAACGAACGCTTCACTTCAGCTCAGGTCTTTCTTCTGCACCAAAACCTGAAGCAACATCCCAATAACTGCTGATGAAGTTCTGGTCCATCAGTTTATCGCTACTTTATTCTGGATCAGAACCCATCAGGACCCGGAGGAGCTGAGATGATTGACTTTACCAAAGGTCTAAAACTCAAATAAAAAACTGATGTCTTAAATCTTTCTTTTTTTTTACCCACATGGTCTGCAGGAGGCGCCGAAGGTCCAACTTCATAAACCGAACTGTTAGAACTGAAGAGGATCTTCATCATCGCTGACGTGACAAAGATGCTGAGCTGCTTGTGCTCGGAGCTGCCGCTGATCCCAGTCGGGTCACTTTGTGAGGGCGGGGCTGACAGCAGCTGATCAAACAGCAGAAACATGGAGGAACATGGAGGAACATGTGATGATGATTTATTTTAACCTCAGCTGGGTTCAGTAGTTCCTTTACAGCCCAAAGCTTCTGATGTTTGATCAGAATCTCCAGCAGAGACTTGAACCCTTTCAGGAAGCTTCTCTTCCTCTGGTTTCCAGTAACTCAGTCACATCAACTGGTGTTTGAATTAAGACTCAGAGGTGATAAAGCACTAAGAAAATAAAATAAAAAAATCAGAGCAAACAGACGCTGGAAGCCCGGCTGCCTCCTTCACGACTTCTCACCATCCTTCAGTCCAAAACTTCCTGCTGATCGGTTCAGTCCAACATGAAGGAGGAAGCGGGGACTTTTTGGCCAGCTGGGGTCCGAGCTCTGGGTCCCTTCACCTGGATTGGACCCCCAGCGCGATCTTCAGGTACTCGTAGACCACGTAGCTAATGCTGACAGATGGGATGACCTTCATGAAGTTGGGGGCGAGGCCTCGGTAGAGTCCCAGCGCTCCTTCGGTCCGGACGATGTGCCGGAAGAGGCCCGTCATGGTCATCTGAGGTCCGCCCTCCACGGAGGCTGAGGAGAACGGAGAACTGAGTGAGCGAATGTTCAGGAACCCTCAGCTGCATCCAGATGACTTTTATTAAGGATCAAGGATTAGATCTGGAATGAATCCTTTTTAAATAGAAAATGTTTGGTACAAAAATAAAGTGTTTTTATGTCTTTGTTTTGAGACAAACCATTAGGCACTATTCGGCTTACCTGGGGCCCCAAGTTCCTGGGGTCCCCAAAAAGCTTTAACTCATTAGAGCACATTGATTATGCTTTTGATAAAAATCATTTGGCTAAAATGCCATCAGAACGCTGATATAATGTTAAGTGTGTCTCCCCCCCCCCCAAGCCACAACGCTAGGTAGGGGAAAACCCTCAATATTTTAAAGCAGAATGGTAATCTTGTTGAACTGACTGCACAGAATCTGTTCAGAGGTGGACTTTCTCACTTAAAAACATAAAAACTATTTTTATCCACTTATAACAGCAGCAGCAGAAGCAACAGACACATCTGGAAACACTTTACTGGACGCTTCAGGAGCGTCAAAGATGAAATCACGTTGTGTGAAAGTTGCATAAGTCAGAGAGACTGGATGTTTATTTTGGTCCAAACATGACACTACCTTGGTCATATAGTTTTAAATAAGACTCGGTTTGTTCATCACTTTACCTAAATCCCATCATAATCTTTAGGAGACCATTTTTGGGTTCTTTTATCTACTAGTTTCATAAACACTACAAAGAGTAGCTAGTTCGAGCTCATGGATCATATAGGATTTCTGCACTGCAGGGGGAGGAGCAGCACAGCGAGAGGAGAAGAAACAGAAGGAAAAACATCTTTAGGAAACCATTCCCCATCACTATTGTTCATGGATAAACTCTTCTGTTATTTAAACGGATCTGAGTGGAGTCGGACCTTGTGCCTGCATCCGCGTCCGGACCAGAGCCAGAGGGTAGCTCGCCAGTTGTCCGCAGGTGCTGGAGGTGGTTCCACAGGCCAGAAGCACAAAGACTCCAGGATCAGCGCTGTCTGTGGCGAAGCGTTGGAGCCAGTAGTTCTTTAAGGTCTGACGTGAGAAATAAAAAAAAAAAACGTCAGAAGGAGAAAAGGAACCAGCTGCGCATCGCATCGACCCGACCCACCCACCTCGTAGACGGCCAGATCGATGCCGGCGTAGGGGATGATGCCCAGCATGTTGGGGACGTAACCTTTGTAGAAAGCTATCATTCCTTCCCTCTGGAGCATGTGTTTGCCACAGTCCACGATCCCAGAGTACTGACCCGTCTTCCTGAGGGCCAAGCGCGTCTTCAGAACCTGAGGGGACAGGAAGTGATGTCACTATTTAGTAAAACCGAGATTAGGAAGACCTAAACAACCTTATTGTAATTTTGTATACAGAGTCATACAAAATGAAATCTGAGCTTTCAGACAGTGAATGAGCAGCAGGTTAGCAGTAAAATGAACATTTCCATTTCATAAAGTGCAGCAGTGATCGAATGTAAACATTATTTGGGAAAAACATGATGAAAAAGGCATAGATGTGGAAATTCAGAGCTGTGCAAAAACAAACACATACACTCACCGGTCACTTTATTAG